CTGTACTAATATTTGTTATTTTACATATTACATACTTTTTAAATATTTTCTGTATTTTTCCATTTATAAGACAACCCAATGTATAAGACAACACCCCCTCTTTTCTAACCCCAAATTAGAAAAAGCAGGGATCTAAAAGCTCCCTTTTTGCCAAGTCCCATGCCCTGGCAAAAGGCAAGGCTAGCAGCTGTCAAAGTGACTGTCACTTTTCCTTGCCTTTTGAGAAGGCTCGGAGCTTAGCAAAAAGGAAGGGAGCAACGCCTCTCCTTCCTTTTTGCTAAGCCCCATGCCTCCTCAAAAGGCAGTAGTAAAGAGCTGCCTTCCTTGTATAAAACGGCCCTATTTTCCCCCCTCAAATTATTTAAGGAAAAGTGTTGTTTTATACATTGTATAAAATGGCCCTATTTTTTCCCCTCAAATTATTTAAGGAAAAGTGTTGTTTTATGCATGGGAAAAATATGGTACACCCTGCCTTTCCAATATAAAGTGGAACTCAAGCAGCTCGCCATCATCACAAAAGTTAAAAACCCAAATAAAGCCAAATGTAACTATAAAATCTAGTAAGACCAACTGTAAAAAATGATTCACGTTAATTTAGATGCGCTAAACCCATTAAAACCAAGAAAAAGTTAAAAATAACACAGCAGAGAACTTCTCTCTCTCTCTCTCTCTCTCTCTCTCTCTCTCTCTCTCTCTCTCTCTCTCTCTCTCTCTCTCTCTCTCTCTCTCTCTCTCTCTCTCTCTCTCTCTCTCTCTCTCTCTCTCTCTCTCTCTCTCTCTCTCTCTCTCTCTCTCACACACACACACACACACACAGAGAGAGAGAGAGAGAGAGAATGAGATAGATTTCTCATTAGGGCCCATCTCCTCCTGGTAATAGTTTACCCGAGGACCATTCCTGCACATGCAGAAAATAGCTGTTGCTCTCTTGATCCTCCGTGTCCATGAAAACAGATATGCAATTCCTGGCAAGGGATGAATGAAGGCTGGACCCATTCCCCCTGCCAAATCCTCCTGGCCTTGATCTCTCAGGAGCTGAGAGGATGCTGATGAAGGGCATGGGGCAAGTGGTGAAAGGTCTGAACGGCCAAATTATGTTGCAACCTATAAACATGGGATTGTGCGCTAGAAAAGGTCAGCTTTGCTCCTTGGTGTTAATCTGCCACTCACCGTATCTGCTCCTTCACTTTGATGAAGAAGGAACCATGAAGCCGGAACCTCTGGTCACAACCTTTTGGAAAAAAAAAAGATGTGTTGCTGGAAAAGTGGTATATGAATCTTTCTGTGGATTACGTGGCCTGTGTGCAAATACTGATAATTCAGAATCACTGCTGAATGCAAAGTAAAGGTTCTCCTTGACATTTAGTCCAGTCGTGTCCGACTCTAGGGCATGGTGCTCATTCCCGTTTCCAGCTGAATGCAAGTATCTGCATAAAATTGCAGTACAGGAGCTTGGTTTTAAAGGCTCCCTGGATGCAGCCATCTGTGGGTTACTGCAACAAAGCTTTTCAGCTGTTGGAACATCCACGATGCTCAACAGCCATCTCAAATCCTGTTTCAGGTTGTGTTCGTTTCCCTCCACAAGCTTGGGAAACACACACCATGATGATCAAGAGAGACAGCTATTTTCCCACCGGCTTTAGACCTGCAAAAAAGCAGGTCCTCAGACTGAGATGGGCTCACGGGGGCAGATCGCTGCATCTCCGTGCTGTTGCAGAGTGGGAGGTAATGGTGGTGGTGGAGGAGGAGAAGGCAAGGCCTATCGCCCAACCTCCACGGGGATGGGCCAGCTGTAACTGCTCTGCAAAAACACAATTTAGGCATGGCTGGTGGAGCAATTGTGAAGAGCTCCCCACTCCGCTGCTTTATTGCAATGGTGCAATCACTTGCCCTTGTATAGACACCAAGGCTTTGAATTTCCAGCTTTCTTCCAAAAGCTTTTGAACCTCAGATTCTCCTCTGAGAACTCTGTCGTAAGGCCAGCTCCCAGTGGATTCTGATTTCTTCCCCTTATTTCAGTAGGAAGAACAAAGCGAACCATTCTAAACAAGGATCTCTGGATGATAGGAAGTAGATCCACATGGAGAGCATGGGTGGAGAAGCCCGTAGTCGGTTGAAGGACAGAGGAGACGTTTTGACCACCGACAAGACCAATTAAATGCCTCTCAGGGTAGTAACAAGGCAAGAGAAAGGCTTTGTAGCTTCTCTGCCTGAGATTCTGATGCCAGAATCAACTTGCATGCGATCAACAGCATGGAAGCAGTTTCATGTGAGCCGTAGGGTCATGCTGTGTGTTTCGCCTTTCCAGAGGCATCTGTGTGGCCACTATGGGAAAAAATACTGGTCTGTGTATGTGTGCATGTGTGTGCGCGCGACACTGGCCTTTGGCCCGGTCCAGCTTCTGGGTCTTCTTCTGCCAACACTGGGGTTTGCTTTGGTGCCCCCCCGTCCTACCACAGCTGGTGGGCTCAGCTTCCCCTCTCACCCTGTGAGAGCGCCACTGAGATCAAGGCTAACCCTGCCTGGCTGAGCGTCCCCTAATTAAGCCCGGGGTTTCGCTTTGGGAGCAGCTGGGGCTGCTGTTCCACGGAGATCAAGGCGACGGGCAAGCCCAGCGAGAGGAAGACGGCCGATCAACGCTGGGAACGAGATATGAAAAGGAAAGGGGGTCAAGCCAGGGGCCCTGGGAAGGAGGACAGGGCTTTCAAGAAATAATAATCTCTGCTCCAGTGGATGGGGAAGAATGCATGCAAGCTTCTCTCCCCCACCTTCACCTTCCTTCTCCCTCCCTCCCTCCCCACACAATGGGAACGGCATCCCACGGCTCTTTCGTTCCTTTGCACTCTCTCAGACCCAGGGACCAAGGGGTGTGCTTGGTGGACTGAGAACATGTGGGGTGTCCATGCCAGGCAGCCGAGGAAGGAGAAGACGGCGGAATCATCCACACAGGGAGCTCCCCGGACCCTGGGAGGATACCTTCCGTGGGTGCTTCAGGATGATGAAAGAGATCTTTTAACAGATTAAATTAAAAGATTAGATCTTTTCTATTCAATTCAGAGGGACGTGGTGGCGCTGTGGGCTAAACCGCAGAAGCCTGTGCTGCAGGGTCAGAAGACCAAGCAGTCGTAAGATCGAATGCATGCAACGGAGTGAGCTCCTGTCGCTTGTCCCAGCTCCCGCCAACCTAGCAGTTTGAAAGCATGTAAATGCAAGTAGATAAATAAGGATCACCTCGGTGGGAAGGAGATGGCGTCCCGTGTCTAAGTCGCACTGGCCACGTGACCACGGAAGATTGTCTTCGGACAAACGCTGGCTCTATGGCCTGGAAACGGGGATGAGCACCGCCCCCTAGAGTCGAACACGACTGGACAAAAATTGTCGAGGGGAACCTTTACCTATTCAATTCAGAAGACTGAATTTTTTGAAACTGAGGGTGGGGGCTCTGGAAGCCATCAAAAATGAGGGCTCTTTGAAGGCCACCAAAATGCCCTGGGAGTGGGGGGGGGAGCAGATGCAACCAAAGCATCTTTAGTTCAACAAACTGGATCTCATAAGTTATCCTATCAGCCTCTAAACGAACACCTATTCCCAAATGTTGGTGCCAGGCAGGTCCATAATGCCACCGAGGGATTCAAAATAAGCAGTGTGACTTTCTGCCCACACCTCGTCAGGTAAGCAAATCTGGCCATCGTTTTTCGGCCAATCTTGCACCCAGATCCTAGCAGGGATTTGAAAATCCGGTGTATTTCATGGAGAGGCTGAGGGTGCCTGCCAAGAGAAGCGCTGCTCTATCTATCTCAGCACAGGAAGGATGAAAACCAGGAAGCCCTCTGAGATTGTCCTCCTGCCAGAAGGATCCTCTGCAAACTGACATTGCTAGATTATATTACTCAATCCATTGAAATGCTTCAGATACAATGTTTAGCCCTAAACATTTTCGGTCCGGCTATGGAACAGCATGCTTTATTTCCCCCAAAATGTAATTAGCATTGACTTTGGAACAGTTATAGCCAAGCAGCACCTGATAATACTATTACGGCTGAGAGATTAGTGTCGTGATAAGAAAATATGCCTTTTTTTGCCATTCACCTACGTTATATTCCTTTGGAGAGCTGCGGAATGAGCTACAGATAAAGTAGCAGTTTAATGTTTTCCTGGGATAATTTGTTTAGGAAATCTCTGCTCTGCCCTTTTGCCAGGAAGGAGGACAGGCCCCCAAGGGGAGAGAGAGAGAGGCATGCATCCACCTTGATTTGAGCCTGGAAGGATGAGCTGGGAGGAAGGAGGGCACCCAGAACAGGTGGCTGGGTGGGTGGGGGCTCTCACCCTCCTGGCACGGAGCAGGGGACAGGGCTAAGGGGCATTTAGCTATTTCATATCCCACCTCCCCCCCATGGGGATCAAAGCAGATACTTTTAAAGAGGCAGTAAATGATAACAGAGTTATCATTTACTGTTAGTTAATGGAGAACTGAATTGTGAGTTTGCCTACCACTTCAAGGCACAACACAGTAACAAAAAAACCCCCCAAAAACCCAAACACCCATGCATGGGCTGAAGAACGCAGGGGCAAACAACACCCAGGGTGGAGGGTGCTCTTGGAGAAGTCTATCAGAAGGGATTCAAGGCACCGGGCAGAGGCGGCCCTTCCTCCATCGCTGGGCAGCCACAGCAGGCGTCCCGGCTCCTCTCCTGCCTTCGTCCGGCGGCAAGCGAGGACGACGCTGCGCCATGGGCTCTCACACACCCTGTAGAGGAGGTGAGGGCGCAAGGTGGTGCCTGGCCTCACGTCCACGTAATGAGCTCCATGGCTCAGCAAGGAACTCAACTGGCATCTCCTGCATCCACACATGAGATACTCTGCACAACGGCATCTCCTGCATCCAGAATCTGCATCCACACATGAGATACTCTGCACAAACAGCAGAAGTGAGGCTGCTTCCTTGTGTGATTTTTTTCATTGAGGAGGAGGAGTCACAAAACACACAGAAAAGCTAGATGTTAAATAAAAGACTTGACCTTTATTTAAAATACAATGCATTTTTGTACATAGTCTTTGTCTCGCTGACTACAATACTGGTGTTCTACCCCTCTGGCAAAGGGCAGGCTGGGGTCTCCCCGGGCTGTTAGTGTTAACTGCTTCAAAGCGGGATTCCCCCGACGCCAGGCAACTGAGTTCTGTGTTTAAGGGCTTTGTGGCACAGCTTATAACCAAGACAGGAACTTAATTTAGATTAAAAACCTGCTGTAAGGCCAATACGCTATTGCAGTTCCTACTTTGGCTTGTGAAACTAGCTTCAAAGGAAAAAAAGAGAGAGAGAGAAGAACCTGTACAATTTTATAAAATTTGTGTTTTTCTTTTTACATTAGTTACACACAAAAATCCTTATACTTCATAGACCTTTACTTCATATGGTAATGAAAAGATTTTGCATATCATCTTAAGTAGAGAGTGACTATGCTGGTGAATACTACAGGTGTTTGTAATACAATATGGTGTAAAAAAAAAGAAAGAAAGAATAAAACAAACAGCAAGGAAAGACACACATACAGCCTATCAACGAATATCAAAAAGAAATCGGACGTTAACAGATAGGCTCAAATCTAATGAGAGAGATTTTCCGAGGGCATGCACGAAAGCTTCAGGCTCCTGCAAGAAAGACGACCTGGCTGTGTAGTGTGAAAATCGAGGGGCCGAAGGGGAGCGTCCACCGAGCACCGTGCAAATCCCTAGGCTAGGTGGGGCATGAAGGGGCAAAGAGGGGCAGCCACGAGGACTTCCTGGATTGCACGCCTAAAAAAGGAGCAAAGGGTGTCCGAGATGCGGATGTACATCCACTCAATATATACTTGTTTAAAAACCTCACAAAACATGCATTAAACATGATAAATATGACTTCATATAGAGTTAGGCCCTGGGTGTCTTTAGAGTTAGATGGCTTAGAGTATTTTACTGATTTGGTTAGCTTACATCGGTCAGAGGATCAGCTCCCTCTTCCCTGCTGGCTTGCGGAGGGAGGGGGGGCCGGAAGAGGCACAAGTGGAGGCCAGAAGGCGGTCCATGTCCCCGCCTTGTTCCAGCCGAACAGCAGCACCGCTGGCTTGACTGCACCTACCGGCTGGTCGGCTAAGGCAAAGGTGTCCATTGTATTAAAAAAAAAAACAGAAAGGAAAAGATACACTTCAAGCTTAACTTGATTAAGCAGCATATTTCAAATAACAGCTTTTGGAGTTAAATATTAATATGGCTGTCGAGTTTAGGGTCAAGCAAGGCAGGCGAGCCGGCGGGGGTCTCGTCCCGACTCACACCCAGCCGCTGGTCAGTTTGTAGAACATCTCTTCGTCCAAGCTTTCGTTCTGGTCTTTCGCCCGCGTGGACAGGAAAATGTAGCCTCCGATGAACTCGTGAACCACTTTGCAATCCACTTCCGTGCAGATGAAGGACACTCGGACGTCATCGGCAAATTCCACTGTTACCTAAAGAGGGGGAAACCAAACAAACATCTTTACATGAGGCTAGGCCGGCCTCCCCAACTTCTTCTTTTCAAACATTCACTCGGTCCTCACTTTCCTCTAACCAAATGTTGTTGGTGAAATTTCTGACTGCTTTTAAGATGGTTTTAGGGTGGGGCAGGTTTATATTTTTTTTGATATATGTTTTAAGGTTTTGATCCAAAGTGGGTTTTATTTGATTTTACTTCTTTTGTTAATCTCGTAGGATGCCTTGAGCGCTATCTTTTGGTGGAAAGGCTGGTCACAGAGATTACATCACCCCCCCTTGTCCCAACAGCGTCAAGGGCTGTCGCTGTGTTCCTGGGCACAATGCAAAGTGCTGGTTCTAACCCATAAAGCCCTAAATGTTTGGGGCCTAAAGATGGGGTATTCATATACGAAGACGAATATCTTGGGCCCAGGTGGCTCAGAAGCCCTCTCCCACCTCCCTGAACCGACCCGTCCATCAACGGAGTAAAGATGGGGTATTCATATACAAAGACGAATATCTTGGGCCCCCCAGGTGGCTCAGAAGCCCTCTCCCGCCTCCCTGAACCGACCCGTCCATCAACGGAGGGGACGCTGCACGGTGCGTGCGGCTAGCGTCCTGCTCATTGGGCCAATCCCACACATAACCCAGCTGGTGCTTCTCCACTTCCCTGTGTGTGGCTGGCCACTCAGCAGCTGAGCGAGGAGACCCGGTCATCCCGCTCCCTGGTTGGAGTCGCCAATGGCACAGGAAGATGGAGAAGTGCTAGCTGGGCTATGTCCAGGATTGATGTGATGAGCAGAACTCTGGCCGTGCGCACTGCGCGGTGACCCATAGGTGGGGTCAAGGAGGTGGGTTGGGCAAGTGGGACTGGGCTTCTTGGCCAGCTGGGTCTGGAATATTCATATTCGTACACAAATACAGTGGTGCCTCACTTAGCGACATTAATCCGTTCCAGGAAAAATGTCGCTAAGTGATTTAATCGCTAAGCGATTAAAAAAAGCCCATAGGAACGTATTAAAATGTGTTTAATACATTCCTATGGGCTTAGAAACTAACCTTAAGCGAACTTCCTCCATAGCGGCGGCCATTTTGGGTGCCTCTAAAGCGAGGCAAAACAGCGGGCGCTATTTTGGAACCGTCAATCAGCTGTGCGAAAATGGGGGCTTTGCAATGATCGCGGGGAAGCAATCATCCCAAAGCCCCCATTTTCGGCCAGCTGATCGGCGGGGCTTTGCGATAATCGATTTCCCACGATCATCCCAAAGCCCCGCTGATCAGCTGTGCTTCGTCTCTCTCTCTCTCTCTCTCCACCCCTTGCAGCTCCAGCCTCGGCAGGGAGACTGACAGCCTCAGCAAGGAGACAGGCACCGCCGCGCCACCCTGGCCAAGAAAAACCCTCTGCGCCTGCAGCAACCTTAAGCCCGGGCTTAAGGTTGCTGCAGGCGCAGAGGGTTTTTCTTGGCCAGGGTGGCGCGGCGGTGCGGGGGCTTTGGGATGATCGCTTCCCCGCGATCATCGCAAAGCGAATTTTCCCCATAGGGGCCATCGCAAAGCGATCGCTCTTGCGATGGCAAAAAGTCCATCGCAAAGCGATTTCGTTGTAAAAAGGAGCGATCGCTATGCGAGGTACCACTGTACGAATATCCCATCTCTATTTCAAGGCCTGGGTCTCCCTTCATGAGCCTGCCCAGATGTCAAGACCATTAGGGGAGTTGCTTCTCTTGGTTGCACCAAACTCACAGATGCATTTGGTGGGGAACATAGGCCTTCTTTGTGACTGGTTCCAGACTCTGGAACTCCCTCCCCCTGGAGGCCAGGCTGGTCCCATCTTTGCTGTCCTTCCAGAAGCAAGCAAAGGCCTTTCTTTTCAGGCAGGCTTTTCCTGAATGACTAGGTGTCTAAGAGGGATTTTTAAAATGGATTTGACAGAATGGCTCCACTGACGGAAGGTGCATTAAAACAGATAGCTCAGTGGTTTAGGAATCTGGTTGCAGAGCCAGAAGTTAGGTGTTCGATTCTCCACTGTGCCTCCATGACAGGGGCTAGACTTGATGATCCATAGGGTCCCTTCCAGCTTTGCAGTTCTAAGATTCTAAGTTTGGGAGATCCTCTCCCTGTCTCCCACATCCCAGATCACGCCACTCAGCTATATTCCCTAAGACCGTGAGAAGGGACACCAGGCCGTCTCCTTCCAGCAGCTCAACAAAATCTGGCTCTGATCCAACACGTGCGACTAACGTTAGGATATTAGAACAATTATTTCTGCAATTGTTATTGTTAACAATTTCCGACTTTTGGTGTATTGGGAAGGAACTGTGGCACCACCCTCCTCTTTTTTTCAAAGACAAAGAACATAAATCATCCTCCCGGTTTAAGACAAGGAGATGCTGAGAAGTATACAGTGAACTAGGCATACTGGAAAGAAGAGGTGCCGCTATACCTGAAACCCATATTGGGGGGAAAAACTTGTATAATACACCTGAATGTAAGTCCGCATGCTCTAATGAAATTCCAAAATTGGGTGAAAAGGACTACCTACCGTAGACCTACCAGCTATTCTAGTTGAGAACCCACTGAGAGCCATCACTGTATTCAAAGGTGAAGGGCAGCAAAGGTAGTCATACGGACTAAAAGCAAATGGACCAGTGCAGAAACGAAGAGAGCAGCCGATAACAGAGCCTGCTCTCTCCTGGACGCCCTCCCAAGTGTCTGCAGCGACAACAGGCCTGCGTCCTGTCCAGAAAAGCTTTGGGAGTGAAGCCATGCTTACCATTTTAATCTCCCAGTTCACGTTCCACTGTTTCATGTTGCTGAACCTCCACGTCTTGATGGCGTCGCTGGTGCTGGCGTCCATTCTGATCAGCCGGTTGTAGGCAATCCCAATGAGCTCCTCCTTCTTGCCTCCCTGGAACCTGAAACATTCCCCGTTTTATAAACAAGCGCTCATGGCCCAGGTTTCACTCTTAAATCCCCAAAACACTTTGATGGCCAGAGAGGCAGAACCATGTGTTTCCAGAGGAATGAGCCCGGCCTGCCTATTTGTATCTGAATCGCTATTCCATGCACATCTCCTGGCTGGCACTCTCGCACAGCATGGCGTTCAGGAACCACGGCTCTCTGTGACACTGGTTAGGCTGGCCAGGTTTTCAGTGCCATCTTCAGCTTTCATTCTGAATTCCCTCTTCCATTCATTGTTTATATATTCCAAAAAGGCTGTGCAGAATTGCTTAAAGAAAAGTGCTCCAGCCTTCTCTCACGGGGTGCAAAGTGATTTCCCCTCTTGCCAAATCCCATGTGAAGCAGCTTGCAATTAGAAGGCTGTCTCTCTCTCTCTCTCTCTCTCTGACCACAGCCTGATTCCCTCACAGCACGGGCAGCCATTGTAAGTGAAGGGGGGGAAAAAGCCCCTGCCGCTGAGACCAGCGGATCCTGTCTGTCAGCACGAGGGCAGAGCGACTTACGTGGCAGCACCAGAGATGGGCATGAATTTTTGCCCATTCAGCAAATTGTTTATTACCCGAACAGCTATAACTGGCGGGTGCCCACTCAGAGGCAGCTCCCCCACAGGGCTGGTAAGCGCCGAACATCTGTTCGCCCAAAAAACGAACCAGCACGAATCTCCAAACCATCAAATTCATGCCCGTCTCTGGTCAGTGCACGGATACACGGGGTGGACGACAACACGGAGCCACAAACCTTGCAATGAAGTGGGTGATGCCAAACTCTGGCAGAGACTGCCAGGCTTGGATAAATCTCATTTTAGCTTCGATGAGACTCATCTGGGCGACGTTCTGATGGGCCTCCAAGATCCGGGCGGTGATCTGTGGGGTAAGAGGAGAAAGGGAGACGCTTAAGGGAAACGCCCAGCCGTGGAGATTCTGCACTGAGAGGTGAAGCTAAAAAAAATTGGAGGGCAACAGACACTCATGAATGCTCCAGAGTGGCTATCCAGCTTTCTTTCAAGTCTGGGTTTAGACCAGTATTCATCAGTACCCTTCTTCTAAATATATCCTTCCAAGAAATTAGGGGCTGCTGATTTGGGTAATCCCCACCCCACCCCCGAAACAGGAATGTTTATCACGTCCCTTGAGTGGTGGAAGAGAATCCGGGTTTCTGCAAGGCCAGCTAATTTTCTTCCTAACGAAGAAAACACAGACTAGGGATTGTTAAAACTTGTACAGAAATGAACTGCGAGTGGGTGGGAGGAGAGCATCAGCAGTTGGCAAGAAAAAGAAGCTGAGGGCAAATGAAGAAATATTAGCCTGTGAATGATAGGGAAGCAAGCTCTGAAACAAGTGAATCTGCTCTTCTTAGGGGAACATTCTGGTGGGATTTGGCTTCCTGAATCCCTTGGGTGCTTTTAAAAAAATACCTTGTTTTTCTAGCCATTTCAAATACAGAAAAAGAAAGAAAGAAAAAGAATGGGGCATGTATGCTGGTTCTCTAAAAAAAACGGTGTCTCTGAATGTGAACCCAGGCAAAGTTAAAGTGACCGAAGCGTGGGGCTGTGCTGCCTAACCCTCGTCTCCTCCTGCTTTCCCTTCCTTAGTTTTTTGAATCTGGGGTCTACACTGAAGGCTAAAAGCCCAAGCACTCCATCTCAAACGGATGTGAAGAGGTACGAGTCTCAGTGTATTTCATTAAAGATAGATACCATCAATTGGTGTCTATAACAGATTCGTCGAAAGCTGAGCTCGTTTATTAACAACGGGAACAGGAATTTTCACGACCCTGTCCATTTTTATGTCATACGATTCCGTCACACGATCAATCATCTGAGTGGTGTATATGCAGACATTACATGTTAAAACATCCACATCACTGGGGCGGCATCAGCACGCTGCGACAAAACTGTCTGCTCTGCCAGCAGGGGAGCGAGTGGGCAAAGGCGAGGGAGGAAGGAAGGATGGGATACCCTCCCTTGGTTCTACTTTCCTCCCCCCTCCCTTTCTGGCACAGCCATTGCTCTTTCATTCATAGATGGCGCCAGGACAGCCATGCAATTTCCCCACTCCATGCAAGGGGCTCTGGCAGCGCTAGCGTTCAAGGGACAGGCCAGCTGCTATCACGCGGGACGGTCAGTCCTTGCAATGCCAGGGTTTTTTCCTTTTCCGCCTTCTGGTCTGAAGGACCACAGCCCCTCTTAAAGGGTTTGAAGGAAAACCGGCACAAAGGACATTTCAATCCTGTCCAATGATGGCTGCCCATCAGAGATGGGCACAAACGGCTGGTTTGGTGATTCGGGTGAGGGTTCATTTATCAGCTAAACAGGTGCCTGGCGCTTCCCAGCCCCGCCTCCTCCTCCGGTGGGTGCCCACTCACAGCAAGCGTCCTAGCGGGTGCTGTCTCTGAGTGGGCGCCTGCTGGAGGAGGCGGGGCAGGGAAGCACCAAACACCTCTTTGGACGTGTGGTTCAGCCTCCATCTCTCCTGCCCATCCCTGCCCACTGGCCTCAACGTAAATACTGCAACCTGTGTGCGTTTTCCACTCCTTTTCTCCCTCTTTATGGTCATCCCTGTCACTCTGACCCTCCACAGGCTATGGAACTTCAGTCCCAACCAGCCCAGCCAATGGACAGAAACAGTGGGGACTCAAGTCTCAAAGGACCTGGAGCGCCACCCACTTTTACCCACTTTTACCAAAAGCCTAGAAGGCAGGGGAAATTGTTTTATGGCTCTTTACTGATGGCGGCAGCATCTGCTTACTTAGGTGTTTTCATTTACTTATTGACTACTACTGTAGGACCTCTGTATCCGCGGGACAAGGGTTCCACTTTCCTGCAGTTTACCGTACCCCTATATATACAACATACAAGGACATTCCCTTGTGGCTTTTGCCCCACGCCTCCCTGTATGTTATAGATTTCAGGTTCCGATATCCACAGTTTCAGTTATCCACGGCAGATCATGGAACCGACCCTCTGTGGATACAAGGGTCCCACTCTACTTTTAAGGCATAGAAACCACCACAGGATCAGCAGTATCAGGTGTGTGCTATGGAGGCGGGTGCACTGTGATGGCTGCTGCTGTTGCTGCCAGTCTGTAATCAGTGAGAACTGGGCTGATCCTGTGGCCCTTTGAGGCGGAAGATACCCCTCTAACCTGGAGACCTAGAACGTGAAGCAGCCCTCTTGCTAGATCAGAATCCCATCCCCGTATCCTGCTTCTAGCAGTAGCCCAATTCCTGCTTCCGGATCTTGCAGGCAGACATGCTGTTATGAAGGCCAACCACCTGTGACGGGGAAGGTTCCCTTCGCTTACTGGACTACCGGCTGCGTCTCATCCCCTTGTACAGCCAGCTCAGCCTAAGGGTCCACCACCACATCCTTGAGGCAGAGGATTCCTTCACTGAATTATTCATGGGGCACATAAGAACTTTCTCATGTCACTGCCAAAAAAACCAGAGGGGGAGCCTCAAGGGGAGACAGGTGAGTGTTACACAGCGCTCTCTCTTCCAGAAGCAGGTAAATGGGAAAGGTTTTCCGAGGTGGAGGAGAGATTCTCTCCTGATCCCTTTCTCTGCCCTATTGTTGCAAGGCATAAACAATCACACCAAAGCACCCAGATTTCCAAGAAGGCACACACTATAGTTCCTGAAGCGCATCCCCTGCCTTGCTTTTAAGAGTATATTCACAAAACAGCAAAGTCTTACGTGCTTGTTTATTTTTACATCTTCTGTCACTTACCAAGTCTCTTATATAGCCTGGCTGCAGAGGGCAAAGGCGAAGAAAAGAAAAAGGAAGCAGAAAAAAAAAGGCAATCAGAAATATGGCAACAAAGCAAAAGGAGGAAAAAAATGTGCAAATTATCAGCAGGAACAATAGTTTGAACTAATTATAAAGTAAGCCAACCATCCCAAAAAACCTCCCCCATGAACAAAAAAGGCAGCGAGAAATGGACATGAGCCTGAAACAAAGGAGCAACAGAGCACAGCAAGACCCCCCCCCCAAAGGGCAACACTGGGCTCTTTTTCAGCATTCCCCATAATCCAAAAGAGTCCCAATTTTCTTCAAACCGTTTTTTTAGCCCTCTTGCTGACTGTAATTGCTCTTTCAGCATTCCCCATAATCCGAAAGAGTCCCAACTTTCTTCAGACCGTTTTTTTTAGCCCTCTTGCTGACTGTAATTGTGGGAAATGAAATAAATGGACACATAAACAAGCAAATAAACACAAAAAGGCAGAATGTCATCTCAGATCAGGCCATACATTTTAAAACAGATGCTTCAAGCTAGATCCGTATTTCCTGCCGCTTTTGATGAGTTTTGATGGCCAATTTTTGAGGGACCAAAATGCAAGATAAAAAGTATGGCAGAATAAATGAGGGAGAAATGCAAATTGTTTCCAGAAGGACTAACAGTAGCAGCAGACACACACGAGCCACGTACACCATTTTATGGCACTTTCAACACAAGGTTTTATCCACCTCTCCCTCCTGGTTCCCACCGTCTGTGCCCCTTCTTAAATCTCTTCCCTGACGGCTTTCCTGTCCAGCCCTGGAATCCGAACAAGGTTTTCTATCCTTGCCTCCAAAACACGCTGTTGCTTTGCTCCTCCCTCTTCTCCCTGTACTTCTAGTATCTCAACACCTTCCCTTTCATCGTCCAGATCGACCATCCTCTGCCACCCAAAGTTCTCCCACTTGTTCCTTTTCCCTTTGCTGCTCCTCGCGCGAGTGGACTGGAGCCAACGGGACAAAGATAACCACCCTTTCATCCCGTTGGCACTTCCAGACACAAGGCCTCCCCCACTGGGGTCAGGTCACAAATTCTTCTGTGGTTTACCTTAAAGGAAATTGTGTGTGTGTGCGGGGGAGAGATGACTGGCTGGCAGAAGAATGGATCTGACACCCCTAGGAATCTAAGGGGACCGGCACAAGGCTGCATGTTCACAACACGAGGTCCAGTTGCAGTTCAGCACTGGACAAAACCTTCAGTCCAAATTCGAACGTTACATACACAAAGATCCGTGATGTCTCTCTTTAGCAAAAGGCCCTACGGATCACTGTGCGGTCCAGACTTTCAACTCCGACAGCATCCCCCGTAAACAGCCCGAGGGCAAGGAATAGCCTCTGCTCTGCAGACCTCAGGGAACTGTGGCTGATCAGGGCAGACAACACTGGGCTGGAAGAACCAACAGGGAGAATCACGGCTGCCTACTTTTGAGTACAGACGTCGGGCAAAGCTTGGAAACCGGCAAATTATGGGTTATGAGGGTCTATCTGCAAATGCATTTAATTAATAAATTTATTAAAATCCTGGCTCTACTTCAGTGAGCTTAAGGCAGTGTGCATGGCTCTCCTCCTTCTTGATACTCACACCGTTTTTGCAAAGCAGGTCGGGGCTGAGACTGGCTTAGCGCACAAACACCCCTGCCTCAACTCACGAGCTTCAAATAAAATCTGTTATGAAGGGATCATAAAGTTACCTTTTAAAAAAGTAATAAATAGAAACAAAAATACTTTGCCAGGATAGCAAGTGGAGTAATATGGTCTTTACTATGGAGTCATTTGGATAACAGTCCTTTATTTTATGACATTCTCTGGTCAAGCCTAAGGTTGAAAAAAAGGGGGGGGGGAGAAGGAACAATGAAATGTGCAATGCAACAACTGACTTCTCAAATATTATAATAAACAACCATGACAAATTACTACTGAAAGACTATAATGAGTAATGGGAACCAATTGCTTTTAAAAAGTGATTCCCAAACTCTGGATAGTAAAGGTTCTGTGTATCACAAACAGGATGTGTTTCCTGGCTTAAAGCAGGCTTGAATGCATGATGAGATTTCTAGGGCATTCATACATCCGGGGGGGTGGGGTGTCCTGCTCCTTCGCTGGCATGCAAGGGCTTTTCCTGTGTGTCCCCCCCCCCCAATACTGTAAATTATCGGGAGGCAGCATTTCTTTCATTCCACCACATAATGTCCCCTCCTCCGTATCACATGATCTGATGGGGTTAATCCTGCCTAAGCATAGCCTCCCAGATGGAAGCCATCAAAACAGCCGTCCTAATGCAAGGCCACATAGCTGTGGATTGCTCTCGGCATTTCCTTTAAGGGAAAGCACTTCCTTGTCCAGCAAATCCCTCCTCACAAGGAATCGCTGCCTTTTCCCTCTCCCTGGGCTGCTTCTTAAGGCACAAGCTATTCCAAATAACCTGGAAGGCCTGTTTCTGCCGGCTACGCCTCTTACGTTCTCAAATTTGATCTCTAGCAAAGGTTTTTTTTTATTCTGTTGTGAGCAACACCAAGTCCTCACCACAGCACCAGACATAATGGTTCTTTCAGAAAGGAAACAAATTGGGGGTGGGGGGGAAGAGTGAAATGCTGCTGCCAGAGAAGCAGCAGCACTCTGTGCCAGTCAGAGACCCCCTTTTCTGGAGAGCAGCCGCACTTTTGCCATTCAGAGCTTCAACTTATCCTGATCACATCATGCACAGTCAAGTGCTCTGAAGACACAAGGACGTGTTTTCCTTGTGGGTTAGAATGGGGATTCATTTAGAGTGGAAAGGGAGAAAGTGCTCCTCATAGGACAGAAGCACAGAAAAGCCCGCAAAATAAGTCTTGATACGATGACGAAGGGAACTTCAGCAAAGTCCCCTGCCCAGCAAGCAAATATGCTGCTCCAGGGAAGTCAAGAGGAGCAAGACGGCCAACATTTGTTTCTGGCCCACCTCCAATTATGGGCAAAGGGGCATCCGTTTGAAAGCCTCGTACAAATGCCAGTCCTCAGGCATCCTAAGTAGAGCCTGCTCTTAACGCGAGTCATTTCTGGGCACCCGGGGGGGAGGAAAGAAGGGGGACATTAATGGTCATGGGTGAAGAAGCTCATATGACAGCGATCAGAAGGGTTACAGTGTAATGTACATAGCAGAGGAGTGATCAATGCAGTAATATTTAGGCTTGCCTTTTATCAATTTTACAGACTGGAATGGTTTTGGGTACTGTCTAAATATTTATCTGGTTTTTTAATTAATAGTTGACTTGAAGTTTATTGTTCTACTACTATGACCTGTCTTTATCTATTTTAGGAGCTTCCCTTACGAGGGGCTTTTCCTTAAAGACAACATACATATCGCTTAAGTTAATAAATGCGCTATGGCCCCAAGAGTAGACCTTTGGTCTAGATAAGCGGGATAGAAACCCAATAAATATAAATAAAAATAAGCATCTATGCTTATTTTGGCAGAACCCTGCCAGAATAACTCCAAGTGCCTGACCGCCAGAATTTGTAACCCCACAGAGCTAGCCACTCCAGGCAAGGGGTGGGAGGACAAGTGGGTAACATGGGTTCTGCACGTGAGCCGCCAGCTGAGCAGGGAGACGGTGGAGTTATTTCTGTGACTGGCGGGAAAAGCAGGACGCTGGCAGCACAGTGGCGCTGAATGGACGGGCCAGTTCCGGGGGTCGGACCTACATGAGGTGCACCTGGGACGGGGGTATTCGTATTCATTTATAAATACGAACTTCCCCATCCCTTTCTTCCCCATCCCCATTAAGCACAAGCCTCTGACAATGAAACATCCTAAATAAAAGAGCAAGAGAACACGAATTGTCTTTAAAGGCATCAGATATTAAGAGTTAGTCTTAAAAAGTCTGGTGGATAGAAGGTGGACCTGCTCTTGCCAGAGAAATGAAATCTACGTTGCTCCTGTCGTGTTACTCCACAGGTAAGGAAAGACACTTTAGGGAAGGAGAGACCTCATGGGTCTATTAAGGACTCCTCAAAGAGCTGTCTTGGGTTCTTTTTAAGAAGAAAGGTGGGAAAAAATCTAATGGGGGGAATGAGCACTACAAGAGCACTTTTAGGGGATGGGGGCACTTCTCCCATGCTTTGAGCCCCCCTTCCAGGCCTCCTTTCTGGACCCTCTCTTAACACATACTGATGACACTGGCCGCATTCCAAAATCACGGGAAATGACCAAAATAGGAGTTCCATTCTATAGAAAAGGTAAAAAGGAGGATCCATCACACTAAGAGGCCAACTAGTTTGCTGAATGTTATATGTAAGCTACATGCAAGGCACCACCTGGAAAAACACTTGGACTGGTTTGAACAAGGAACGATTATTGGGCCAGAACAGGCGGGTTCTGTGATAGAACAAAATCTAATTATTCAACATCTTGTTGAGAAATACTCCTCAAAGGGAACAACGTCACTCTGTGAGGCCTTTGTTGACTTCAAATCGGCATTTGACTCTATATCTAGAATGCGACTCTGGGACAAGCTAACACATTCATCTATTGACAGAAGACTTCTGTATCTCATACATGAACAAATGTCTGAGAGTCAGATGCCGTAGGCAAGGGCATGTTACCAATCCATTCAAACATATAGAGGCTTTAGGCAAAGTTGCCTACTAGCAGCAGCACTATTCATGTTTTATATACTGTACATAGACAGCATCTTAAAGAGCAGAGGCATCACCTTGCCGACAAAGGTCCACATAGTCAAAGCTATGGTTTTTCCCGTAGTGATGTATGGAAGTAAGAGCTGGACCATAAAGGCTGACTGCCAAAGAATTGATGCTTTTGAATGGTGGTGCTGGAGGAGGCTCTTGAAAGTCCCCTGGACTGCAAAGAGAACAAACCTATCCATTCTGAAGGAAATCAACCCTGAGTGCTCACTGGAAGGACAGATCCTGAAGCTGAGGCTCCAATCCTTTGGCCATCTCATGAGAAGACTCCCTGGAAAAGACCCTGATGTTGGGAAAGTGTGAGGGCATTAGGAGAAGGAGAAGACAGAGGACAAGATGGCTGGACAGGGTCCTTGAAGCGACCAACATGACTTTGACCAAACTCCGGGAGGCAGTGGAAGACAGGAGGGCCTGTCCATGGGGTCACGAAGAGTCGGGCATGACTTAACGACTAAACAACAACAACAACATACATAGTCTATTTAGCTGGCTTAATACCCCTGGTCTCCATCCTCCCAGACTAGATAACAACAGGACAATACCAGCGTTACTATATGCTGATGATACTGGTATACTCTCCAGAACCCCTGTTGGGTTAAGGAGAACCCACTGGGAAATTCTCATACTATGAAGATGACTCCTTAACAATTACCTATCAGAAAACCAAGATAGTCACCTCTGGGCACAGGGCAAGGACTCAGTCTTGGTTGATTAATGGCCATTGCACCAAGGAAGTTAACAACTTCAAATATCTTGAGGTAGTTCTCCAGGCCTCAGGCTCTAGGCTTCAACACAATAAATATACGGAAGATCAAGGGGAAAAAAACCTGCAAATAATGCAGTAAAATTCCATCACTCTCAAGGAGGGCTCTTTGTTCCAGCAGCTCTCAATTTTTTACAAGACTGAGACGTTAGCCCAACTGTTATATGGTTCATTTTTGGGGCCGCTTAACTCCCATTCTGCTCCACAAGAAAGAGTCCAATCTAAATGTTTAAGAACGATCTTACAGGTCCCTAGATGTGTGTCAAATGCCAGTATAAGATTGGAGACAAATGCCCTAAAAGTTGAAGCCTAGGTCAATATCATATCTATATATGTGTGTGGCTAAAGGGACATCTAAATCCACTAAATCTATTTCCTTTAAATAGTCTACGACAATTTTCAATCCAACTGGGTCAAGTCTGTCCAGAGCTATTTGCTGAAAATTGGCCTTTTACTTCAGTGAATAGAGCAGGCAAAAAAAATTAGTTAAGCAGAGAACTGAGGATACAGAATGGCAAACCAACCTTTCCAGCAGAAAAAATATTTTAGTGAGGACCTACATCAAACATTCTGTGGAACAAGCAAATTATTTAACGTCTCTGGAAGTAAAAGGGTTTAAAAGAGCCTTCACCTAGGCGAGGTGCTTGTCTCTCCTTTCTGTTGTACTTGAAGGGAAGTTCAAAACTATCTTTTTCCCTGAAAGGTTTTGTACTTATCCCTTAAGGGAAGCCGAGGCTACAGAGCACATGTTCTTCACTTGTCACCTAGGCAAGCTGCTTGTCTCTCTGTTGTACCTGAAGGGAAGTTCAAAACTATTTTTCCCCTGAAAGGCTTTATTTTTCCCCCTGAAAGGCTTTGTACTTATCCCTTAAAGGAAGTCGAGGCTACAGAGCACATGTTCTTCACTTGCCCACATGACAAGATGGCCTGTAAGGAGATCATCACCCCACGGGTCAAAGAAAATCCTGGCCTTTCAGAAAAATACAAGACTTAAGTTTCTGATATAGACTCCAAGATCACTTCCCAAGTAGCCAGCAGTCAGTATGGCGATACTCAGGTCTCAGAAATTCTATGGTAACTAGATAGTAGATTTTAAATAGTCTTTTAATACCAAATGTTTTTACGAAAGCATCTGGAATTTTGGAAATTTGTAAAGGTATATTTCCTTTCTGTATGATTGGTCTAAGGACTGGAACAATAAACTAATTGATTAGGGCCCCTAATCAAGGCTTCAGGAGTTAACCTCGAGGCAAAAATGTTGAAAGCATCTGGAATTTTGGAAATTTGTAAAGGTATATTTCTTTTCTGTATGATTGGTCTAAGGATTGGAACAATAAACTGATTGATTGGGGCCCCTACCACCACCACCACCACCACCCTGGGCCTCAAATACTCTCCAAAGCTATTCTCATTGGTCTAAGGATTGGAACAATAAACTGATTGATTGGGGCCCCTACCACCACCACCACCACCACCCTGGGCCTCAAATACTCTCCAAAGCTATTCTCCCCCCACTCCCCTTTTGTGGCTACTACAGAGGCAGCCAAGGCTGGACAGGATGACACTTTCCTAGGGCCCCTACCACCACCACCACCCTAGGCCTCAAATACTCTCCAAAGCTATTCTCCCCCCACTCCCCTTTTGTGGCTACTACAGAGGCAGCCAAGGCTGGACAGGATGACACTTTCCCTGAAAACTGAGGTCAGCAGCTTGGATGTGCTCTTGGATTTGTCTCTGAGCTTGGATGCCCAGGTTTTGGTGGAGGCCAGGAGTGCCTAGGCAGTTAAAACTGGCACACCAGCCGAGATGCCTGATCTGGCGACAGTGAAACATGCCTGAGTTCCTCCCTGTTGGGATTGCTGTGAATGTGCCATACGCGGGGCTGCCTTTGAAGATGGTTCAGAAACTGAGCTTGGATGCCCACGTTTTGGTGGTGGCCAGGAGTGCCTTGGCAGTTAAAACTGGCGCACCAGCCGAGAAGTCTGATCTGGCGACAGTGAAACATGCCCGAGTTCCTCCCCGTTGGGATTGCTGTGAATGTGCCATACGCAGGGCTGCCTTTGAAGATGGTTCAGAAACTTCAGCTGCTCCAAAATGTGGCGGCAGGCAGACTGCTGACTAGGGCCCCATACTGTTTGGGTCCAGGCTATTGGAAGGGCCATCCCTTCCCCTATGAGCCTTCCCAGCCCTTAAGATGTACAGATGAGGTCCTTCTCTTGGTTTCACTCCCATCTAGGGGCACACTGAATGGGGACACAAGAGAAGGCCTTCTCTGGGGCAGCCCAAGGATGTGAAATACTTTCCCTTGGGAAGTCAGCTTCGCCTCCCTCCCTTTTCTCCTTGAAACCAACAGCAGAAGACCCACCTCTTCAGGCAAGCTTTTAAAACTCTGGCCCAGTTCCTGCTTTTGGTCTTTAGCTTTTTAAAGCTGCTTTTTAGATTTTTCAATGTTTTAATATGCTTAATGGATTTGAATTATTATTATAGTTTAATTGCTTTTTCATCTGAAATTTATTGTGTTTTTAGTATTACTTGTTTTAACAATATGACCCACTTGGGTCCCCTCACCAGGAGAAAGGCGGCCTATGAATGATACAAGATAGACAGGCAGGCAGACAGACAGACAGGCAGACAGAAGAACAACAGGGTTCCTCAGTGAACCCCTCCCACATTTTTAAAGGAAAAATGGAAGTCATTGTGGGCACACTTAAGAGATGGGCATGTGTGGCCTTCAGATCTCTTCAATTTGCTTGCCCCTGATCTAGAGTGACAGCTGTCTCTGTACTTGCATTCATTCCCATGGCTCAGTTTCCCTACTGCATCTTTAAAGCTTTTTTTAAAATCACATGGGAAGACCGGTTTTTTAATGGTTATTCAGCAATCCTGCCAAGAGGCCACCATCTGGGCTCCCACAGTCAGTGACGAGGCCAGAAGGAACTCAAGATGGACTCCGTTCTTTAAAAAGGTCGGCAACACCATCCAGCCCATTCTGAAATCCCTTCGTCCAGAGCAGCCACACAGCCCAACCAAAGTACAGCTCTCTGTTTTGCTGGGATTAAGTTTCAGTTTGCTTCGCCCCCAAATCACCCTTCAAGACAAAAGCACCCACAAACGATGACCCCCAAATTAACTACCTGCTTGTTCTTGTACTTTTTCAGATATCTTGGGGAAACCAAACATTCCGGGTTGATGTCTGTTGTGACCTGCTCATTGATGATCTGTGGATCGGGGTTCAGATGCTGCATTTTCAGGAAAGACAGGATGTTCTGAACTTCCAAGTTGTAGGAACTGTCTGCCATGGTTTTGCCCTTAGATGCTAGCCGGCAAGCGGCCATCCAGTGCGCGTACTGTTTTTCCTGCAATTTGGAAGAAAAAAAGGCAAGAGGGCTCGTGGAGATGGATGCTTTTCATTTACGTCATCCAGTCTCAAGCACTTTAGAAAGTTCAAACACTGGATAAGGACCTGATATGAGTCAACACAATATATTATGCTACCTACAGTGGCTGCAGAAAAGGGGGCCTTTGATGCATTCTAATCCACAGAACAAGTACTCATTGTGGTGGTCTTCAAATTGTCCAGTTGATTTTTTAAAATTTCCGGACAGTGAGTGTGCAGGTCCCTCACTAGTGGTATATAAAAGTTCAATTTAGAACATTCAAAATATTTAGTGAAATATCTGGTACCAAGACGGTATACTGTATATACTGAAAAGCTCCTGAAAATAATCCCAGTTCTATGAAGTAGCTGTTATGCTGGAAGAACAGCCCATTTCTCATTGGTCCTAATCCCTCCTCTTCTGTAGCATGACGTGCGCCATTCATCCCAGATGCGCACTTCCACTGCCCACGTCTGCCCTCTGTACAAATGAGCTTGTACACCTGTCCGTCACAGCCATTTGAACTTACATTGTCACAACGGAGCCAAATTTCATTCATGCCCTCTGCAACAGGGATCAAAAGTTTTATGTTGAACTTCTGGCCAGAGATGTTGACATCAGGAGTCACCTCACACCCTATGATGAAAGATACGAGATGTTAAGCTTTGCAAACCTTTCAAGCTGTTTCTGCAGCGTATTGGAGGGAGAGGACGGCTTTTGGAGCAGTGTGGCGGGCAAAAAAAGGCCATGTAAGAATGAAACTGTCTTTTCACTGCAAAACGCACTGGGAAGTGAAATGAAAACACCACCTTACCCCTTACTAATACAGACCACCTCCCACCTGCTTTGGAAAGCCTATTAGATAGTATTACCTAGACAGAGATAGTCCATTTGTAAGATGTCTTCTCTGATTTAGACACCCTCCTTCCCCTTTCATCTGAAATGTGAACCGATGCCTGTAACCTACAGGAAGACCATCTTTTACTAAAAAGAGGATCCTTAGAACACAGTCACGCAAGTCAAGGGTTTAATCAGGGATTTGAAGTGGGCTCTCCAACATGCTTTATGTTCACTGAGGCAATCACTCTGATCTGAAGTCCAATTGTCTTTTTAAAAAAAATTCTGAAAAGAAAACAAAAAGAACTTCTGTCTATATTCAACTTATAATCGTAGCTTCGGGAAGTTTGCCTCCAGCAGCCGCTTCCTCACAGCATCATATTATGGTTGTGTTGGAAGGGATTCCCAAGGGTCACGGAGTCCAGTGTCAGTGCAGGACGCCTCCAATTAAAGTGCCCAATCTTTACGGTGAAACCTGCAGGGGAAGCTGAATCCAGCTCTTCGGAAAGCAAGCAGCTCCACGGTTGAAAAGCCCTTACTCTAAATGCTTTCTGACATTGGTTCAGAATCTCCTTTCTCTGACATTGAATCCACTGGTTTTTATCCCACGTTTAAGAGCATTAGGAAACAGGCTTGCTCCCATCTTCCAGGTGACCTCTGTTCAAATATCTAGATATAGCTGCCACACCAATTTTCAGTCTTCTCCAGGCTAAACATGGCGATAGCTGCCAACCACTCCTCACAAGGCTTGGCTTCCTGACCCCTTCACCATCTTGACGGTCCTGCCTGGGACAGAAATAGTGACTAAAAGCCTGTTCAAGTCGGCACAATCTGAACAGGAAGTGTACCATATATTATACTAGGCAGCCAGAACTGCACAATGGGTCATAAGGTAACGTCTCCATGATTCTAGAAATATTCGGAACTATCTGGTTATGGATGATTCGGAGAATTCCGAATATTTCCAAATCCAAATGTACCTCTCTAGTACAATGTGCCCATCTCGCTTCCAGCAGGTGATCAATGCCTCTCCCGTGACTTTACTGCTGACTACAGAGCTGACTTATTACAAGCCTGTCGTCCAAATGAAATCAACCCCCCTGGAAGTGCTATGGATCATGGCAAAGTATTTCTTACTTTCAATGCCAGGTGTGGGGACTACATAATATTACAGAGGTATGTTGCCAGTACGACAGCAAACAGTAGACCATTTCTCGACAGCTGCAAACATTACACTCTGGAAGCAGCTAGATGCCTTTGTATCAAAGCTCTTATCTACGTACACGTGACAGCTCAGACATACCCAGCTCAAGAGTAAAGATCTGCGTGTCTGAATGCTACCGTGTGCAAGAGTAGGGTCCACTAACATCAGTGGGATTTACTTCTACATAACAGACTCAGAACAGAGAAGATTAGGTGTGCCCAAGTCCCACTGAAATCCACAGCCTTTTCAACTCACTTTACGCAAGCCAAACTGTTTCCAGTAGTAAGCCTATGAAACAGCGTATTTGATGGCTGTTTAAAGAGAAAGAAAAGCATGTGGCCTTGAGGAATGTAGGCACAATGTCCAGGGTTACAATACAAGCCTTTTAATACAGAAGAAAACAGTGGGGTTGTTTGTTTTGAAGGGAAACCATTTTCTTGGAAGCCATTTCTATCAGCCCTGCTTCAGCTCCTCCTGCAGAATTCTTTTAAAATTCAGTCAGCAACAGCGCTGCTAAAAAAGCTCCGAAAAAGGTATTCCATGCTTCCCTTCCCCAGCTCATAAGCTCGTAGCTAGAGTCTGAGGTCATCTGGCAGCCACATCTGCCTCGAAGGCTTTAAAAAAAAGAAAAGAAAAGAAAGAAAGACAGAAAGATGTCAGCAGTGGTGGTTGTTTCACAACCCTGCAAGCTGGAATAGTTTATTGCTGAATACAGGCAGGCCTGGTACCCTTAGGAATCTCAGAAGCAGAATAAATTCCATGGAAAGTTGCATCTGAACGAGGCAATACAGTCATCAGGGGACAGTAGGTTAAAAAAATGGGGGCAGGGGGGCAGAAGTCTAACTAAAGAGACAATTTCCACTGGGTGACAGAATTATTATGAGCCTGTGTTCCAAGGGGTGACCAGATGGGTATTTTTCCTGCTGCCTGTTATTTCGTACAGTTCCTTTAGATATTTATTGCACTGATTATATAATGTCCGCATTAATTGCAAGTAGGCCTGTTCTTCTGGCATGAGTATAAAGGTGTATTTTGTTTAGCCAACAGGACTTGTTTTTTTTTTCTTACTGGCATCATTTCGTCTTGCTTTTGCCTGCTTGCCTGTAACAGTTCTTTTGGGCCGTTTGGGGGGGGGTGGGTCTGTCCAGATGACAGAGAGGCACATGGTGTAGGAGTGAACCTTATGCCTTTTGCCTGCCTTCTGCTCACACTGATAAGCATGACGACTGCAATGCTTTAGCCAACAGGACTTGTTTTTTTTTTCTTACTGGCATCATTTCGTCTTGCTTTTGCCTGCTTGCCTGTAACAGTTCTTTTGGGCCGTTTGGGGGGGGGTGGGTCTGTCCAGATGACAGAGAGGCACATGGTGTAGGAGTGAACCTTATGCCTTTTGCCTGCCTTCTGCTCACACTGATAAGCATGACGACTGCAATGCAGAATAATAATAATAATATACATTATTTAGATAAAATCAATTAATATTCAGAGGCATTGATTGGTCACAACATGACCCCATCAATGCACCGTCTGGCTCTTTTATGACATTAAAGTTAAAAAGAAGTTCTGAGTTAGCCTGCAGCCTTGAAGGATATAAAAGCTTTTAAAACATCACAGCCATTGCATAAGATAGGATGAAATTAGGAGACACCTATCACCATCCGCAGGCCATCCCAACTCTCCTAAAAAAGAAGTTAAACAAGACATCTCTAACAAGGGCGGGGGCTCTCAAAGTTTGTAAACTGTATTTTTAAAAAAATTTTCCTCTTAGTTTATGGCTATAGCTATAGGGATCATCTGATACAGTACTAACTCACATGATCATCACTTCAATGCTGTTTCACTAGTTAAACATTAAAAACAGAAGGGATTCGAAGGGGTGAGTAAGAGGGTGGTGACAATGGCAGAGAAAGGTGAAGCAGGAGAGGGAATGTACGGTGTGTAGACACTTGAAATGCATCCTCCCCGTACCATTGAACATTTTCGCGTGAACTGCCGCCACAACGTAAATGCCAGGGTGCAACTAGAGAGAGGTTTGCATCACCCTGGGGTAAAACCTCCATGGTGGGGTCATGCCCTGAGTTTCTCAAGGACACAGCTTTCTTGAGTACAGTGGTACCTCGCTTAGCAATGTTAATCGGTGCAGCAAAAATCGCTGCTAAGCGATTTCATCACTAAGCGATTTTAAAAAGCCCATAGAAACGCATTAAAACGCATTTAATGCGTTCCTATGGGCTTAAAAACTAACCTTATGCGAAAATCCTCCATTACGGCGGCCATTTTTGGTGCCTCTAAAGCGAGGCAAAACAGCGGGCGGTCATTTTGGAACCGCCAATCAGCTGGCCGAAAATGGGGGCTTTGCGATGATCGCTTCCCGGAGCGATCGCTATGCGAGGCACCACTGTACTTCTTCAAAAAACTGGATACTGTGCCGTTTATTCCACTTCTTCCTAGCATATATTGTGAAGCAGAGGAACTCGTGGTGAAGGCTTTAAGCTACTCATTACAGATTCAACGTGGGTTGAGGTTCTGCCATTTCAATGCCAGCCGCAAGCAAAAACAAAAGCAAAAGCAAAGCAAAGCAAAGCAAAGCAAAGCGTGCTGCTTATATACCGCCCCATAGCACTTCAAGCACTCTCTGGGTGGTTTACAATTTAATTATGAAGGCTACACATTGCCTCCCCCCCCAGCGAGCTGGGTACTCATTTTACCGACCTCGGAAGGATAGAAGGCTGAGTCAACCTTGAGCCGGCTACCTGGGATTTGAACCCCAGGTCGTCAGCACAGTTTTAGCTGCAGCACAGCGATTTAACCACTGCGCCACGATAATATGGGCAGAAGAACAAATTTATTGGGAATGTACCAGAGGTGGCGAGACGGGAAGAGGCTTACCTCTTAAGTTCATCTGGTGAGCTGGAGTCCCACTCGATTCTTCTTTACTCTTGTAACAGGAGATGGACGTATCTTTGAAGGTGCACCAATACTGCTTGTAGCCCTTCAGTGTCAGCTTCTTTGGCCTGTTAAGCAGGTGGAGGATTACTAGACGTCTGACTCAGCCGAGCTGAGGTGTATTTGCTCCAGACTCTCTCCTCCTTTCATCCCAACCTACAAACCTCTCTTTAACAGACATGAAATCTATGAATAAAGGACTATATTTGTATTCCACATACACCATATTCAGCTCAAGCTCAAATTGGGAACAGTCTAGGAAGCTACCATATGAATGAGGCTCCAACATTTCCACCTGTGGATCTGATGATTATACAGTACAAGACTTTAAGCTGAGCTGAGGAATGTACAGTCTTGATGCTCATATATTTCCCTGGGACCTGTGTTGGAGCTGTTTTAGTAGAGGAACTGTGTCAGTCCTTCCTAACTACACATAGGTAAGTCAAGGTCAAGGTCAACTGAGACCCTCCTGTCAAGGGTCAATCATGATGTGTTTCTCTCCTATCCAGCCTTTTTTACTTTTTGAAATGGATATCAGACATGTTGAACTTCTTTAATATTTTATAAAGTGCTCAGAATTCAATTGTGCTTTAATACTACAATATAGCACAATAACTTTTCAGTTATCTGCCTATATCTGTAGTTAACCTTCTTGTGTGAGCTGCCCCAAGTTCCTGTTTCAGGAGAAAGACAGGAGATCAATAAAACCAAACCTACACTCCTCTCATTATAAGAGATATAGCGACAGTGTGAAAAACCCGGGCCACACTAGAGGCTCTGTGGCGTGGGAAGAGAGAGGTTCCTTGAACAGAATGAACGGATAAGGCTAGGTGAAAAGAGAAGCTGCCTGCAAGAACAGATCATCTGCGGAACACACAGCCGCAGCAAAGTGGAGCCACAATATTCTAGGCAGAAATATCTAGCACTTGGTAGGAACGGGGAATGGCGAGCCCTCCCACCTCCACTCCACAGGTGACCCATACCTCTGGGCGACACACTAGTTGTGTTGAGTCCCCATACTCTGCTGCAACTGGGCAGGGAATCCTAGACAGAGAAATCAATATGGAGAGGTTTCCTTGGAGGCAGGAAGTTTGCCAACTGCTGTTTATAAGGAGAGTGTGCGTATTTGCTTTCGACCCAACAGACGTCTCATGGAGGAATTTGCTTCCAGTCCTCCTCTCCACATTTTTTTCTGTTTTAGTACCAAACAAGGCTGCCTAGGAGAGTGTACACATAGGCTTTCCCACTGTACCTTCACACCAGCCCTTAAACACTGACTGAACAGTTTGTTCCATCACCTGGAAACGTCATGCCACACTGGAATTCAAGCTCGTCCCCCTTCTCACCCGAATCCAACATACTACTACTATACCACTGGCTTCTCCTTTGAAACTTCAGCTCAGACAAATCTTGAATTGCTTAAGGAAGAAAATAATCAGAAACTGAAAGGTCTCTCCTCCTATACTATTAAAAAACATCACAGCAGGAGGGTAGCGTACAGTTTTCTGTTGCATATGTCAAGGATGACTAGTCTATTCTGGGGCTTTCTAGCAAGCAAGTCCAGGTCAGAAAACCAGTTCCTGTTTGCAGTGCTGGTCATGCAACAACTGTTCTTGGTTTCCTTTACTTATCCTTCCTCTACTTAGCACACCAGTCGCTACCAATTCAAGAATTCCCATCATTCTAGCTTGCAACAGACAGCTGAGGCTGCCAAAACATTAGTCAAAGTCCAGACGCAACCGCTTCCAGTTTCCACATGCCGTGATCCAAGATAACACCCTTCTCCCTCACCCCCAAATATAAAGTGTCACACTGAATTTAAAAACAAGAATAAATCAGGCAAAAGAATAGCATATCTGGTCTAAAGCTGATCTCTTCTGGCAGCTTAAACAAAGCAAACAAATGGGGAATCGTGTTTATTACCCATCAATGTGCTCCTGAATTCCAAGAAAAGTACTTGAGTAATATTTCAAGCTATGCTATGCAGTCCCTAATTTTAGGACCGCTGAGGAGACTGCCAGGCGGCCACAAATATGGAAACATTTCACCATCACCTACTGATTTGCGTTGTAGAAAAGACCCAAACCAATTTTAATATCTGAAACAAGAAGTTATATAAATTATATCTCCAGATCTACAAGCAATTATCATTATTAGGGAACACTCTACTTTTGACCAACCAAGTCATCAAGTGACGAGCTACAAAATCAAATGGACTATCAGAGGTGACACTTCCATGTATTTAAGCAGTTTGATTGCTCAATGTGAACTTTTTAACTATCTGAACTAGACCAGTGCACAGAGATCAATTGTGTAACTTCTAGCAAGGAAGATGCACTTTGCACATGCTCTGAGGTATTCATACTTGATCCACATGTTCTAGAGCTAGGCATTGATATGGAAAATGAACGTTAGGGCTGGATGACCAAAATGTTTAAGGAACACTAAGAAAAAATTGCTTCCTAAGTACATGGACTAGAAGTCACTTCAAAGAATAGCTGAACGAGTCTCTTAGACACTTAAGATGCCAGATCCTGTGTTTGTTTTTGTTTCAATCACTAAAGTTCACTGATCTTTGCTACCCTTCTTGGGATTTCCAGGCAGTACTTACTTGAACACTTTAATATAGTCAGCCAGCTCCGGGATCGAAGTGATGTCACCCTATGAGCAAGACATCAGAAGTTAATTTTCAGCAGCCAAAACCAAGATAGGGAGGGGCTTTGGAAATGCATCAGGGACAATGATTCATCTTACAAAAATGGTTGCCCAGTTGCTCCAAAATGGCAATGTCACTGCTTGAGGAGAAGGGAAAGACCTCATTGATTGATTGACTGATTGATTTTTAAAACTGCAGCAATAAGCTGGTTAACTCTCTGATAAGGGGTGTTTTGCTAGAAAATTGTCTGTGGTATGACATCTGTAGAAAAGTGAGTAGCTGATTTGTTTCAGTTCCCTCCCCCCAACATCAAAGAGGACAGGTTCTATTGGGTGGTGCAGTACAAGAGAGACTAATTGGTTTTTGTCATCCAGTATGGGGGCTTCTCACTTTCTCGCTCCATCCACTTGCTCACCTAAGATGGAATCCCTGCATGTGACACCCTTCCTAAAAGATGCTGTGGGCATGCACTCCATTTACAAGGCACATTCGATGCTCCAGTGCAACCACACACTACACCGTAAAATTGATTTTGGAAAGCAGTCTTTCAGTCAGAGAAGGTTGCCTGCTGTTCATTTTCTTCCCATTGAAAGAGGTCTCTGGAGCCCAGCCTAAAACTGCAATGCTATTTGGAGCAAGTACCAGCTCAGCAGTGGAGATGCAAACAAGAGCCCACGCCTGATTGGACTTCCTGCTCCTGGGTCAGTGTGCCAGAACCTCATTTCTGTGTTGTTGTTTAGTCGTTTAGTCGTGTCCGACTCTTCGTTTCTGTAGCTTAGGGCAACCCTGCCAGAAGCTCCACAGCCTTAAAGCAGAGATGCATAGTAGACCTTCTGTCCAGAAGAATGCAACCCACTGGTGCATATCTAAGGGCCCACTTGATGCTGACTGGGGTTCTTGCAAAGAATGCTGGACCAGGTAAACTGGTGTTGGCCCAAGAAGTCTACAACAAGTATTCGGTAAATTTAAAGGTTGATTAATAAATCACAGGCAGGTTTGAGAAAAAAGTAAACATATTAAGGCTCTGCTCGAGGCTCTGAGTTCAGCCCACCTCTGCCTTAGGATGTCAACTGCCACATTTATGTCTACATGAAAAAAGGGATCTTAAAACCTGCAGCCCTCCAGATGTTGCTAGAGGGCCACTGTCACTGCCCTAGCCAATGCTGAGGAAGGACAGCTGTTGGTGTCTGAATACAACTTGAGGGGTACAAGTTCTCCATCCCTCCCTTTTAAAAAGCAAAGCAAAAGCAAAAACAGTGTTTTGCTGGGTGAAGGAGAAACTGAGATGTGCCTCGGGAGCTGTGCAAAGTCCAACCCCAGTCCTCAGCTCTTGGCAGAAAATGCAGTCCATTCTCTTTAGGCTGATGAGAAATCAGGACTCCTCTGGGTCAACAGGGTCCTGCCACGGTTCATGAGGACATTCCCTGATCTGGCAGAACGGCAGAGATACAAGCTGCAAGGCCCCTGATGCTGCAGACAGACAAAGGTGAAGAGGTTTGCTTTGCTTAGCCATCAGGTATTTTCCTTTCCCCATCTGTCCAAATACGCATGGACTTGTAGAGGCCTGACTAAAGAGCCAGGTCTTGAGGTGGCTCTTCGAACTGCTAGGTTGGCGGGAGTTGGGACAAGCGACGGGCGCTCACTCTGTCGCGTGGATTCGATCTTACGACTGCTTGGTCTTCTGACCCTGCAGCACAGGCTTCTGCGGTTTAGCCCGCAGCGCCACCACGTCCCCTTGGACTTGTAGAGGCCTGCCTGAAGAGCCAGGTCTTGAGGTGGCTCTTAAAAACACCCAGCGAGGGAGCCAGACAAATTTCGGGGGGAGGGAATGTTCCAGAGACGAGGGGCCACTGCAGAGAAGGCCTGATTTCTTTCTCTTCGGGCCTCCCTCGGCGTTAGGCCCCTCAGTCACCCCTCCTGGCTAGATCGGGTGATACAAGTAGATCTAGGTGTGAGGAGGCGTTTCGCCAGATACTGAGGTCCTAAACCATTTAGGGCTTTATATGTCATCATTTATATGTCATCATTTGAAATCAACGCGGAAACAAACGGGCAGCCAATGCAGGGTAACCAGAGTAGGGGAGATATGTTGGTGTTTTCTCACCCCAGTAAGAAGTCTGGCCACCGCGTTCTGCCCCATTTGAAGCTTCCGCATCTGTCTCAAAGGTAGCCCCACACAGAGTGTGTTACAGTAGTCTAATCTTGGGACTACAAGCGCATGGACCAGAGTGGTGAGGGGCCTCACATTAAATGCCTGTATTTAAATTTTATCCATCTGTGAAGAACTAATTCCCAATGTACAACAGGGAGGTGATTAATTTAAGGAGTTAGCTTAAAGTATCTATTATTTCAAAGCTGTTTTAGACAGAAAGATGCCGAGAGCTGATTCTCATGAGATTTGCAACATCATCTAGTGTGTCTGTATAGCTTGACTGCACAAAAGAAGCAAGGTTATGTCAAACGACTCCCCTCTTCTCCTCCCGTCATCTAGTACGGTGGCTCTCTATCTCCCTATTTCACTTGTTTGGACAGACAGTGCAGCAAAGCAATAAATCAATGGCAAGCTTTCACTAGTGCTCTGTCTTCTTCTTCCTTGTCAAGGCTTCTGTAAGAGCTCTCTCTCCACACATCTGTCTGGCCCTCTGCCTAGAATAAGAGTGAGTTCTGCACAAAATGGTCGGCTAGGGTTTTAGTTTGTCAAGAAGAAATGGAAAAAGTTTAGAAGCCTTGTGTTGGAATACTAAAGAGTGCAACAGTGAGACTTAAGAACCTAAGAGGCAATGGCAAAAACTCTGTGTCACTGGGCTATATGTGTACGTTCAATTAAGGTGCCTGTAGATCCGTCAATGGCTTGAGATACCTCCTCTATGTATTTATACATTCTAAAAAGAGAAATAAGATACTGAACCAAAATTGAAAGACAGGCAACAAAACATCAAGGATTCCTGTCTTTCACCCCGAGATAAATCATAATGTGAAACACTGTATAGGAGAGCAGAGCAAATCCTTCTCATGGATGGAATCTACAGCTGCACAGAGAAACGTGTAGCTCTTACCAGAATTGTGGATGTCTTTCCACCTTCCAGAGTGATCTCCAGGTCAGAAAGGGCAGCATCCACTTCATCCACTTCCTTATCGCTGTTGTTCAAGTGATTTTCTGACGACATGATTGACAGCTTATTGATATGGTACTGAAATAAAGAAGTTGAAAACCAGTAGGGTCATTAAAGTGATGAACGGAAGAGCCAAATAAACACGGTTGTGAGCTACTCTACATACTCTCTAGACAAGAAAATGTGCAGTTAGGTCAGAGGGCCACAAAAAACTGTTCAAAAACGTCCCCTCTTCCTTGCATGCAACATAAGGGGAAGGTGGACGAGACGGATCTTCCTGGTAAGGCTACTGTATAATAAATGCTACGCTTTACTGTGTTAAACACGGAGGAAGCTGAATGCTAGAGAAGGTGCAGCTATGTTGTTGCTGCTGTCATCATCACCATCATCCTTATTATCACCATCTTCTTCTTGTTGTTCTTCTTCTTCACACTAGGATTGTGCTTGCTTTCTTTGTTCTTCTTTCCGCTTGGCAGTTTTCCAGTTTTAGCTGGCCTGATCCATGGCCAAGGATGATGGCCATGGTCAATACTCTCTGAACAGGAACAAGTTCCTTCTTTCTCAGTTAACACAGCTGGTCACTGCTCTCAGAAAATGACAAATGTGGTGCGCATGTGCATGCTCTTTAAAAAGTAATCCTAACTTAAAACGTCATATTTTGAAGCAGAATCGTATACTCCCGATTCAGGAGACATGATGCCAAAGCATGAATCAACTCCTCACTCCTTCTAGCTTTCCAGCAAGTACAAAGAACAAAATGAGGAAGCTGATCTCTCCTTCCAGTCCCCTTTATATCCATGGGGAAAGTGCCATTGTCTCATGGCCGATTGTATGGCTTTCCAGACTACAGATGACATTGCACCATCAGGAAAATTACAAATACTATCCAGAAGGAAATTTTCACACTAGCCGAGGTTCCTTTGTTTTTCATTTTCCTGATTGAGAGTCCTAACTCTATAGTGTGTTTGGATTGACCAATCAAGAAACCTTCTAAACATAAAATAACGTCTCATAAAGTACAGAGGAAAAACCCCACAGCAACTCTCTTTATCAAACACATGTTTATATTACTCTAGAAGGAAGAGTGACTGGTATTCCATCAGGTTGTTTAGAAGCTCTGCTGTAACTTTGCTACTATGAAAAAGTGTTTGATTAAGAGGGAAACTGATGTACGTTTGTAAGCATCCTCCTCATTTTTTAATTCTATATTTCTCCTAACTGTCCAGTGTCAACTTCTGATGCCAGAGATAACAATAAAACAATTTATTAAAATAACAAGTTCAGTGTGAGGCCTTAAACTGCTGATATAAAAAGGACATTGATAATGGGGGAGAGAAATTTTGTTGTTTAGTCATTAAGTTGTGTCCGACTCTTCACGATCCCATGGACCACAGCACGCCAGGCCCTCCTGTCTTCCACTGCCTCTCAGAGTTGGGTCAAATTCATGTTGGTAGCTTCGATGACACTGTCCAGCCATCTCGTCCTCTGTCATCCCCTTCTCCTCTTGCCTTCACATTTTCCCAACATCAGGGTCTTTTCCAGGGAGTCCTCTCATGAGATGACCAAATTGGAGCCTCAGCTTCAGGATTTGTCCTTCCCGTGAGCACTCAGGGTTGATTTCCTTCAGAATGGATAGGTTTGTTCTCCTCAAGAATCTCCTCCAACACCACAATTCAAAAGCATCAAAATATAAGCAGTTTAGCATTCCATTCCCTTATAATAAGAACATCTTTCTTTGGTGTCAGTTCTAAAAGGTGTTGTAAGTCTTCATAGAATTGGTCAATTCCAGCCTCTTCAGCATTGGTGGTTGGTGCATAAACCTGGATTACTGTGTTACTGAAAGGTCTGCCTTGGATTTGTATTTAAATCATTCTACCATTTTTGAGATTGTATCCCAGTACAGCTTTTCCCACTCTTTTGTTGACTATGAGTCTCTGATTTGAATCCGTCCATTCCTGTCCAATTTTAGTTCACTGATGCCCAGGATGTCCATGTTTATTCTTGCCATCTCCTGTTTGACCACATCCAGCTTCCCAAGTTTCACAGATCTTACATTCCAGGTTCCTATGCAGTATTTTTCTTTGCAGAATCGTACTTTCCTTTCACTTCCAGGCGCATCCACAGCTGAGCGTCCTTTTGGCTTTGGCCCAACCACTTCATTAGCTCAGCAGTTACTTGTCCTTGTCCTCCACTCTTCCTCAGCAGCATGTTGGACGCCTTCCGACCTGAGGAGCCCATCTTCCAGAGTCATATCTTTTAGCCTTTTATTTCTGTCCATGGAGTTTTCTTGGCAAAGATACTGGATTTGACTTGCAAGTTCCTGCTCCAAGTGGATCGCATTTAGTCAGAACTCTCCACTATGACCCGTCCATCTTGGGTGTCCCTGCACGGCATAGCCCACAGCTTCTCTGAATAACTCAAGTCCCTTTGCCACGACAAGGCAGCAATCCGTGAAGGGGACGGACTGAAAAGAGGGCAGCAAATCTCAGTTCAATATTTGAAATAAACTGCTTTGTATTGGCATTAAATGTGATTACAGGTATCACATTTGTACACTATTTATTTATTTACTTATTTACTTATTTATTTATTGTACCCCGCCTATCTGGTCCACCGGACCACTCTTATGGTATAATGCATTCATTTCTGGAGTGGAGGAAGGGGCGGGACAGGAATGATATTTCTGGGATACCTAAGATTATCAACAGCTGTTAAGAGAAGCTGAGTGCCAGAATTTGGTGGTTCAGTAACCTAATGTACTTGTATTTTGTTTAAAAGCCAACAAAAACTAAAGATTGATACAAATTTGTTTGTGAACAAGAATCCAAATTCTTTTGTGTGAGACATAGCAAGAAGGCCAATCTATTTTAAATTACCTAAAAAGGTTCAAGCAAACTCTGCAAAATGGGAAACAAGCCAAGATTTGTTAGAACAAAATGTTCTAACCGTTGAAGGAACTATGGGGTAACATGAAACTTAATCAGTTCTTTCAGGAACTCAGCATTTTCTATGGATCCAGGATATATCAAGACTGCAAAACCCAAGAATTACAAAGATACTTGGATCTGTAGCCACTCCACTCACCTGCAAGGCTGCAAACATCATCATCTCCTCCTCCGTGCATTCTATTTCTTCCAAAAGAATAGCCCACTTGGCCTGTTCATAGAGCTGGTTGATTCTGATTGCATCATACTGTTGGAACATAAGCAAACTCGTGGTATGGAATTCTGCTCAGGAAAAGCCTATGACTTTCTGCAATGGTCTTTAAGCCCTTTTAAAACCTTCATTTCTACCTAGTGGTTAAAGGAGACATGAGCTGTGAGCTTGAATGACCACAAGTCATTCACGTTTCAAAAGAGTTCGTACTCTTGACATAAAGCCTCTTGCTCTCTTGAAGTTTATGTATCTGCAAACCTTAGTGATTCGTGATTAGGTTCACTGTATAAGGCAAAGAAATCCTGTCCAAACAATTTCTTTCTCCATCTTAGGTCTCCCAGCGCCAGACACAATAATGCTTTGTCGTGCCAACTTTTCCTGAATAACTAGTGGTGCCTCTCAATATCAATACAGCAAAGAATCCTGCAAATGGGTCACTTCCCAAAGTGACCCCTTCAAGTTATGGCTGCTGTGCTAATCCTGTTAATTGGTCTGAACTAGCAACAACTGACAGAATAGCAGGTTACTGACACCAGTGTTAAGTGCACTGATATAAACTGCAGCGGGGAACTGTCACTCACTAGTCCCCCCCCCCGCGCAACAGTCATGTTAATCAGGGACACAGGCAGAAACTCACAAATTAGTGAGAATAAATCTCTGTAGTTTTTGTCCCTGCACTTACACTTTTGAACCAATAACTGGATGACTAAAGATGGCCAACACATTTGATTTGAATTGCTGAATGTGCTCCCATATATCCTACCCCTGGAAGGAACTCAACTGTTCTGTCTTACTCCAAGCTGGCCCATGACTGTTCCAGTTTTAAGCCTGAGTGAAGGATGAGCCCAGCAGATTTTGTCCTGTCTCTTTCTCAAGGCTAAGAGATGCTTGCCCACAGGAGCCTCGTGGCACCGTGGCTACACGGTGCGGAACTGCAACCGAAACTCTGCTCATGACTTGGGTTCAATTCCAGATGACTGGCTCCAGGTTCACTCCGCCTTCGATCCTTCCGAGGTCAGTAAATTGCTTGGGGGGGGATGTGTAACCCGAAATTACATTGTAAACTGCCCATACAGTGCTTAAAGTACTATGGGACATTATATAAATGGCACACTTTTCCTTCTGTTTTCTTCTTCCCCTTCTCCTTCTGGCCAAACGTCATTTTTCTCTCCCACTCCTACAGAATACACTCAAAATTACTCACTAGCCAAGCACAGAAGGAGAGTTCCCTTGCTAGAAGTTGAACTCAACCCAGATAGTGGCATATAAGAGGCAGAGGACATTAAACAACAATGAAAACAAAACCCAAGTCTGTTAGCAACTTTAAGACTCTCTAATGATGTCCTTGAGTCCCTTTTAAGGAGAAAGGTGGGGTAAAAGATATTTTAAACAAGTAATTAAAAAAACTGATTTCAGTCTGAGCTTTCACAGATACACTTCATGTCTGAAGAGGCATTTCATTTTGAAAGGTGGTGTAGTACTTTTGGCTTTGTTTTGTTATTGCTGAAAGAATAACACACCTACCTCACTGAAAAGCAGACACCAAGTTTCTAGACAGGCAAAGAGCACAGAGAACATAAGGGCTACATACTATTGGCAGGCTTGAAGTATGTGGGCTACTCCTGCTCAGCTAACCCTTAACACAGCACACAGCACACATCTCTCTCTCTCTCTCTCTCTCTCTCTCTCTCTCTCTCTCTCTCTCTCTCTCTCTCTCTCTCTCTCTCTCTCTCTCTCTCTCTCTCTCTCTCTCACACACACACACACACAGAGAGAGAGAGAGAGAGAGAATCCTGCAGAGCATATTTTATCAGACACAACAATACCTTAGGATTCAAGTCAAAGAAGCTATAGTATTTGAACCGGAGAAGTAAGGCTTCATTCTCCTTCACATCTTGTTCCATGAGTGACCTTGAAGAGTCCAGCCATCTATAAAAATGGGGGATGGAATACAAGTGGAGGGAAAGGTGGCTTAGTCATTGCAAAATAGTAATAATAAAAATATATATCAAAATCAAGTTGTTAAAGTAAAATTTCAAAACCTACCCTTGGTTGATCTTGGCTTTATCCAGAAGTGACTGTGGTTTATACATTTTGGCTAAGATTTCTGGGGAAGTGATTGGCTGGCTGACGGCAAGAATACCTGGATTTCCTTCTGATAAAGCACTATCACCAAACCAAGCTGATGTTGGTGACAAAGGGCTCCCGTCATGAGAATCATACGTCGGCGTCATGGTTTTGCTGTAAAGCCCGGGGCTTGAATAAATGCTCCCTAAATTGGAGAGAAGTACTGAGTTAGAATCAAGTCAGCATCAAATGGAAGATTATCAAACTGAAGAGCCATGATTCAGTATTTAAAAAAAGCAATGTCAAAGTAACAGCAGATTCTCATGTGGCAAGGTGGAGTGAGTGCAAGAATATGAGGAGGAAACAAGTCTTGCTTGCTACAGAAGACTCAAAGTGGCTTCTCCAAAGGCCTGTCTCACTGTGGTTTCAAACTTCTACAAGGGTCGACAAGCGTGTAGAAAGGAGCATGTCAACTGTGCTTTTCACAGTTAATAAGGCTTTTGAAAAGGTATCTCAGGGAAAAAAAGGTTAGAAAAAAGGCAAGTAAGAGGAAGGCACACAGCAGAAGTGCATAATGCTACACATGAAATGGGGAAAAAAGGGACAAAGGAAAAGCTTTCCTCCTTCTCTTTCAATACTGAAACTCAGAGTCATCCTGCTTCACGCAGCACATGGTTGAACAAGTATAATTTGCTATCTTAAATGCAGTGATAGCTGCTAATATGGAAAGCTTTAAAAGGGAAGAAACAAATTGCAAGAGAAGAAGGTTATAAATGGCTGCCAGTCACATCTGATATCTCCAGGGTCGCAGACGTAAGATTCTCAGCATCAGTTGCTGGGGATCCCAGGCAGGCAGCTCTGTTACCCTCATGTACCGATTGTGGGCTTCCTATAAGCCTCTGACTTGCCACTTTGGCAACCAAAGGTCAGTCCACACAGGGCTTTTATTCAGTTCAACAGGGCTCTTCAATGAGTGAAAGAAATGTATGTTTCTTGTTTTCAACAGAAAGTATAAATGCTATCTCTAAATAGCTATGGGAGCTTACAGATTTCTAGGAAAAGTCCCTCAATCCCATTTAATGTCTCACTAGATATGCGTAATGCAAGTAACAGGTGCTTGGACTTTCATATTGGAATTTGAGGAGTACTGTACCTAATACGAAATATTTGTCAAAAGTAGAGAATTAAAAAACAAATTGCAAAATTCATCAAAAATCACTTATTTGTTGATTCGTATTCATTTGACTAAATGCCCCCAATGAATACGAATCAACAAAATTTTAGCAATTTTTGATTCATCAATTCGTTGGGTTGTAAAACAGCCCCCCCAAGCACCTAGAGACACCAGAATTGCAGAGAAGCCCCCCCCTCAACTCTCCTCTGCTATCTCTCCAGATTTGGTGAAAATTGCATTTTCCTCAAGCCAGTTGTTAAAGGACACTTTCCTGGGTGAGAATCCACTTTGTGGTTGTGTAACTCGCATGTCTGAAACCCAATTTTCACCAAATAAGAGAATCTAGGGAAGCTACCTCATGATTTTGGTGTCTCTAGATGCCCGGGGAACCATGTTATAGGGTTTTGAAAGCAAATGAATAAACAAATTTATTATTTATTTATTTGATTTATACCCCGCCTACATTGTACATTCATCATTCGTGATTCATCAACCTTGATGAATCACAAATGAAAATACATGCCCATTTTTCCAAAGTGTGCCATCTCTAGCCAAAAGGCTGGGTCAGCGGGAGAGAAACAAAAAGTAACTGTGAAGGCCTTCCTTTCTAACTATTTTCAGACTCCTGTGGGCTAGGGAGGTAAGAATGCAGGCAAAAGAAGCTCACAGGACACCAGACATCCTACCCACATGGGGCTCACCTTTCACTGGGCCGATGTAAAGAACATCAGAGCCTACAGAGAAGGAAATAAAGGCAGTCAGAAAGTCAGATGAAGACAAAGAAAGAAACAGAAATGAGAGCGACAGGAGTGAAAAACAGGCAAAGAGACAGGGCTACCAAGGGTGCAACTAAGAACATGGTGTGTGTAACTCTAGTCCTTCATGAGGCACCTTATAGGCATTTATTTATTCAAATTATGAGGTGCAAAAGACCAAGTTGAACATTGTACTACAACTCTCCAGGCAAATCATCATCATCATCATCATCATCGTCATCGTCATCGTCATCGTCATCGTCATCTTGGGGTGGCAATGCAGCATTATGTGACAAAACAATGCATTATATGTATATAAAACAGCAAAAATCTAAATGCAAGTTTCAATATCTGTTACAATCTAACACAATAATTTACTGTAGAAATTACTAAAATCTGGTGCCAAATGCTTACAGTCTAACACAATAATTTAGAAATTACTAAAATCTGGTGCCAAATGCATATCTCATGTGGGAATGGACGTGGTCAAAACAATGCAGCTCTTGTGAACCACAGGAAGGGAATACAAATGTGTGCTGCTTATATACCAACCCATGGCTCTTAAAGCTCCCTTTGGGCGGTTCACAATTTAATTATGCAGGCTACACATTGTAACCTCCCCTGGCCAACAAGCTGGGTACTCAATTTAACACCCTCGGAAGGAAGGAATAAACATCTCAGGAAATGTGTTTTTTAATCTGGAAGCTGCCTCTCATGATTGACTGTGCAAAACCAAGTTGCTGTATAAGGATTTTACACCAAAACAAGCATCTGAAATCTCACTCCAACTCTGAATATTTGGTTCCTGCTTCTGAACAGAAGACAAAGAACTCTGCAGCAATAGTTTCATCCAGCTGCTCGCTATTGTTGGCTAATGCATCCGAAATCTCAATGACTATCAAGCAAAGGAAACAACTGCAGCCTGCTTAGGTTCTTTCCTTTGTCTGTACAGACCAGTGAAAGAGAGATGGAAACGTTTTGCTTTGTCCACTGTTAGTTGCAGAGGTAATTTTACCAGTGCCTGATCCCATTCTATATGCTCCTACTATGGAGAAAAGAACCCCAGAGGGGGGGAAACCCTTGTGAAATAGGTTAATTTGCACTTTTCCACATAAAAGCTACACATTATATAAACCTTTCCATGTAAAACCAAGTGCACAGAAGTCACAGTATGAAGATTTTACCACTTTGGTAATGAGAACCATTTCTCTGAAGGCCGATGAATATTCACCCTCTCTTGGCTGGACTTCCAGAAATGAATCAGCTGCATGGTCTGCAGGAACCTTGAATGGTTCCCCAGCCTGAAAACCAGCACTCCTTAAAATAGTTCATGGGAGCCTAGCCGCACAGTCTTTTTGCGGCCAGCTGCTTGTAACCTTTTGCTACGCATGTGTTTTCCAAGCTTCTTCTCATTCTTAAGAGTTTAGGAGTACATGCACTCACTATCCTTGTGGCTTAAGACAATAAAAGGTTATCAGAATGCAAAGTATTTCCTTTACAAGGTGGTGACTGGGAAGCCCACCTCCTAAGACCCTCACGAGCTAGATTTTCAGGTTTTTATTTATTTTGTTTCCATTCAAGTCAAACTACAGACTTCAAAATAGCCAAAATAAAGGTAATGTAACCACGGTCTTCCGCTGCCCATTCCCATTTTTCTCAGAAAGACCATCCAACACTAATACTACTAAACCTCTCTTAAATAAAGAAAATAATTCTGTTTGCAGTAGGGTATCCAGGAGACTTATTAAAAGTAGCACCATATATCCAGACAGCTGTCTTTTCTTGCCTTTGTCATGAAGACAGCAAAGAAATGGAATTTAACCTTTGGTGTTGATGTTAGTTACAACCACTTGGTACATAATCTAGCACCCCCAGTCTATTATTTTTAAGTAATGGCCAAAATCTTCTTGCGTAGTTTTGCTAACATACAAATGGCACTAAGTTTTAGAGCCAAACTGCCTCAAACTAAAAAAACGACAGTAGACCTTATTTGCTGTGCCCAGAGTCGTGAGGCTAAGTGTACAACACACAATGTGTGCAGTCCTTCTTACATGGCTAACTAACTGCATTATCTGCTGTGTGCTGAGTCAAGACAGCTCACCTCCAAAAGTTATGCTTGTGTTCCACCAGATGATTGGCATTATCTGCTGTGTGCTGAGTCAAGAAAGTTATGCTTGTGTTCCACCAGATGATTTCAACTTAGCAAGATTACTCTTGCCACATTAGAAGGGGGGAAGGCATAAAATTAAAACAGTGGTAGCTGAAGACTCATTTACAGTTTGGCGTTCACAAAAGAAATAAAAACGTGCTGCTTGCTGTTGAAGGTAGAGGAATGATTAAAGGAAGTAGCTGGAACTGAATGCAATATGTGAAAGTACTACACATTTTTCTGAATAACAATTTTGTCTGGAAACCTAATGGTGCTCATGTAAGGTTAGGGTTAGGGTTAACCCTAACCCTAAGGTTTGCCTAACCTAATATGTGAATGTATTACACATTTTTCTGAATAACAATTTGTCTGGAAACCTAATGGTGTTCATGTAAGGTTAGGGTTAACCCTAACCCTAACCCTAAGGTTTGCCTAACCTGTTGTGGCTAATTGCAGCTAATTGATGAGATGCCAGGTAACATCTCAATGGGGCTTGCTTATCGTGAACAGAACTGGTGTGTCTATCACAGCAGATGCTGTATTACACATTTTTCTGAATAACAATTTGTCTGGAAACCTAATGGTGTTCATGTAAGGTTAGGGTTAACCCTAACCCTAACCCTAAGGTTTGCCTAACCTGTTGTGGCTAATTGCAGCTAATTGATGAGATGCCAGGTAACATCTCAATGGGGCTTGCTTATCGTGAACAGAACTGGTGTGTCTATCACAGCAGATGCACACAACAAAGGTTGTTTCAACCAGCTTTATATTGATGTTTACAGATGTAGAAAGCCTACAAGATGTTTGACTAGTTTGCCACCTCCTCATCTATTTTTTGTCATTTTTGTGACAAATTAGCAGTCTGCAAGGAAACCCCATCTGTTTCCTACTTTACATATTCTTCCCTTTATGGAAAGGTCACAAAACTTCACTTGCCTTTAAAGGTTTGACATATTTACACATGCAGTTTAAGCATTCCTTTTATATTATACCCAGCATCCTACTTCTGAGCTTAAATCTGAACGTAAACCAATGAACAGGTCTGCACCTAAGAATACAACTACTGACAAAGCTGGCACTGCCTATTCACATTAATATACAGGCTATTCACAATGCTTCTCTATAGAAACATGGAATAATGACGTTGGAAGGGGCCTATAAGATAATCAAGTATAATCTTTTGATCAGTGCAGGAATCCAAATCAAAGCAGATCTGACAGATGGCTGTCCAATTTTCTCTTGAATACCTTCAGTGTTGGAGCGCTCACCACTTCCCAAGGTTATAGGTTCCATTGTTGTACTAACAGTTGTACTAACAGTTAAGAAGTTTTTCCTGATATTCAGACGAAATCTGGCTTTCTGTAACTTGCAAAGGAGCAGTGCTTGTTGGTCTGTAGTTACAAACTGACAAAAACAAATGTTCCAAGCACAAAAATTCATCTTCTAAGTACTTCCTTATTTCAAGGGTATACACAACCCATGTTTTCCCCTCCCAAAAGGCATTAAATCCAATCTCCTTATGCGTACCCTGGCCCCATGACTAAAGGCCCTCCATTCAATCTCCATCCAATTTCATATAGATCACCCTGTGTCAGGATCACTGGGGGAGGAAGCAGACAGGTCTTTATACACCCATTTCTGCAGAGACCATTCCATGTTGAAGGAGAGGGTAGAAGGAAGAACAAGCAGTTACACATGCTTAATGACTATGCCCATTATTGATCTCAGCCGAGTAACACTAGATTTTAAACCAATGCAAGTTAACAACGGCAAGCTAGGAATGGGCTCTTCATCACATTGTCAAATGAGTGAATATTGTGTTCTTGGTTAACCTTCTGAAGAAGCAGCCTTCTGATATTTTTTCCTTCACTGCAAAGCCTGTTTTGTACAAGGAAGAGACAAACCTGTAGAAAGGTACAGGGAAGAACTAACAAATTCTACTTTCCATCTGCGGTCCCCATCCCAGCCATGCAAAATTGTACTGCTCTGGCCTTTAAATGGAGAAGCAGCATCCAGAACCCTCCAGGCTGTTGTTTGCTACCCCTGAAGACACTCTTGAGAGTCCCCTGGACTGCAAGGAGAACAAACCTATCCATTCTGAAGGAAATCAACCCTGAGTGCTCCCTGGAAGGACAGATCCTGAAGCTGAGGCTCCAATCCTTTCCCCATCTCATGAGAAGAGAAGACTCCCTGAAAAAGACCCTGATGTTGGGAAAGTGTGAAGGCAGGAGGAGAAGGGGACGACAGAGGATGAGATGGTTGGACAGGGTCATCGAAGCGACTGACATGAATTTGACCCAACTCCGGGAGGCAGTGGAAGACAGGAGGGCCTGGCATGCTCTGGTCCGTGGGGTCACGAAGAATCAGACACGACAATGACTATACAACAACAAAGACAGTCCAAAGTTCATTAGCAGCCAATTCAGAATCATTCACCAGATTAGCCATGAGGGGAGATTTGGTCAACAAGAAGGTACTTAAAGTTTGCTTGGCCTCAGAGGAAGAAAAAAAAAATCTCCCAGGGGATGGCCAGAAGCAACTGCAAGGAACCAAGATTTCACATCAACTGCTGAAGGAGGGAAGAGCTGCTATTTCTTCTTATAACTTCAAGTCATGCTAGAAGCTGAACAGCTGTTAAAAGGGGTTTGTAACAATTGCCCTGTGGGATTTTCTTCTTGGTTGTTTTCCTCTTTCAAGTGAAAGCCAACTGTGGGAGAAACCAGCTGGTTAACTCTTTCACCTCCAAACATTCATCCACTCCATTCCAAAGCACTCTTTCATACAGGAGAGGAGGTGTTAGAGGAGCTCACATCTTTTCCTCCTAGATCCA